GTGTGTGTGTGTGTGTGCCAGTGGTGGGTTTCAAATTTTTTTGGAACCTCTTCTGTAGGTGTGGCCTGCTTTCTGGGGTCACTGGTGGAACCTCTTCTAACTGGTTTGGTAGATTTGATGAACCGGTTCTACCAAATAGGTGCAAACTGGTAGGAACCCACCTCTGATTCTAACGTAATTAAATATAAATAAATCCAGTTAATATTCCTGAATACTTTCCTAAATGTTTTTGTTTTCAAGGTCTTCCTACAATTTAGGAATAATGATGTCAACTAGATCCCCAGTAGAAAGGTATTCCAAAAGATAAGTGTAGTAATAGAAAAATGCTTCTCTGTTGCCCTCTCCTGATTCTCTTAGAAATAAGAAAGAAGAAACAATATGCTCATTCAGGATGAGTCCACTATATGAATAGGATCGGTTTAAAATAAACAGTCCCATAGGCACCTAGGCACCAAGACTTATAGAACTTTGGAGATCAAAACTAGATGATTAAATAATAGTTTTGCAGAACAATCTACAATGTGGTACTTCAGAAGATGATGGATTCAATAAAATTAAGGCCAACATTTCAAAAGAAATGTTGTACACTCTGTTTTAATGTAATATCCCGGTTTTAAGGGAATTTTTGTTCAATTTAAGCTTAAAGACGATGGGTTTTTAAAAAGTTTCATTCTTAAACTGGGTTTCAAGTGCCTTAAGGTATGAATCATAAGTAATAATTTACATGACATTGACTAGACTTTTGTCTAGGTACACACTGAAATTTATGAGATATTCAATATCTTATGTGACTTCTCAGAGATAACATAAATCAACAATGTAAAACATCAGTGTGTCTCATGTTGTGTCTCATTGGAATGTCACCCATTTGGGAAGTTTCTGGCCTGGAATTTACATTTGTATAGAAATTGAGTAATTTTTTTCTCCCTTCTCTTCATTTTTTTTTAAAAAACAGAAGGACCTATGTGGACAAACACTGAGAAAATGGAGAAGCGCTTACATGCTGTTCCAGCAGCTAACACAGTCAAATTTCGTTGTCCAGCTCTAGGAAACCCCCAACCAACCATGAGATGGTTAAAAAATGGGAGAGAATTTAAGCAAGAGCACCGGATTGGTGGATTTAAGGTAAGAAGTTTTTTTTTTTACGAAAAGTTTTTTTTTATTAGATAAACATTAAAAACATTGGACATATAGAAGAGAACTGTGAGAATACGATGGTCAGGGAATTGTGTGATTTGCATAATTCACAATTGAACTGGCTGATCATATGTACATAAATCCTGACTGATCAGGCTGCAAAATTTGTAGTATGATTCTAAGTTTGTCTGATGAAGCCCTGGCAATTTTGGATGTTCTAAAAGAGGATTGTCTTTATGTCTCATGAAAAGCTTGCCATATATGAGGTGAAATATTCATGCATAAAACATTGCAGTTTGATGGAAACTCGGATCCCATATCATATAACTTGATCAAATGTTATTATTTTACGTTCTGCACACCTATTGATAGGATATCTCTATGTGTCCCAACAGAAATCATTTATGGTACATTCATTGGTATTCAGCTATCCTTGAAAGAAGGGCAATATCCAGTGATCACATACATATTTTGTATGTAGAGAGGCGTTCTGTATTGTACTAGTAGATGACATCTCCACTTCTTTGGGGCATGTTGGAATATTGACAGCCTATAATGAGTATTTACAAAACGATTTCTGTAGTACTTTGCCCAATCATCGAAACACATATGAGAAGCCAAATAATGCACTGGTTGCAGCAATCAATCATTTTACTTTTAATGACTGTTTCTGGGATCTCTCTGAGGCTCAGATAAATTTGGTGGAAATTCATGTTGTCCTTGGAGTAACTAATTTGCTTTGCAGATGGTTATCTGCAAATAAAGTAGAGTGCCTGGTAGAAACCAAGGAATATGTTGGCTGGTATATTGTCTCCCTTGTGTTATTCACAGGGGATCTGTTATGTCTTGTGCCTGTTTCTGTAGGTATGTGTATTGATTTCTGATTTGACCCTAGAATCTCTGGAAATTGGGCAGAATATAAATTTAATAAATACTAATATTCCTGCTAATACTAATCCTGGTAGCAGGAATAGGAATGACCAATTTTAAAATATAAGAGAGTCATTTGCCAGTCAGTACAAACAACTAGATGGACCACAATTTTGATTCAGTATATGGGTGAATTCATTTACTGTACTTCTTTTCGTTGTGCTTCCAACTCAGATCTCACATTTCATTGTTGATGAGTCTGCTTGGCTGGTAATGTAGTTACATTTGTAGTTACATTTTGGGAGTTGTAATTTATGTAGTAGATCAGGTGTGTCAAACGAATGTTGTCATGGTGGCGTCACGTGACGTATTTTCCCCCTTCGCTAAACCCGGTGTGGTCAGTGTGGGTTCACCGACAAATGCGCACTCGACAAAAGCGTGCCGACGAAACCGCAGGGAGAAAACCGCGAGTTTGAAATTGCGGTGACTAATGAGCGCAGAAGCNTCTCTGGGCTTTCAGCCAACGGAGTTGTAATTCCTGTGATTAAAGAGTGGCAAATAGTCACGCCTGTGTCGGAGGGGGGTGGTATCAGAACACAAGGTTGGAGACCTCTGATTTAAAACATAGTGGCCTCCTAATGATAGATTTGTTTGTTTCTTTGTTTGTTTGATTACTTTGCCATTTCAGGATGAAAAATACAAATGACTGCTACAGGGAAGAATTATTTTTTCTGCAGAGAATGACTCTGCCTGTTCTTTAAACATTTGGAAACTCTTAGGTTTTCCAAGAATACAAGCCGAGGTCGTATTTCAAAGGACCGTGGCTTTCTTTTCTTTTTTCCCCAAGTTGGAGTGTGCAGTTCTGCCCACACCATCGCCTCACACACCAGACTGCGTGTCTGTTGGAGAATTTTTATGCTCCTTCCTCTCCCTGCCTCTCCCCCCCCACCCCATCTACTTAGCAAGATAATATACAGGACTGAAAGTTTATTCTTTCTACTTACTCACCTCCCAGAAAGTAAATTCGGTCTATCAGTTTCTACTGAGGTATTTAAAAAGGGTGTTTGTTTCCTCAGCTGTGTTTTGATAACCCTTTTTGCCCACTAAACTTTAGCTTGGTTAAATAACCTGATAGTTTTCAATGTGTAGATAAAAATATATGTAAGGGCCACATAGTAATTGATCTTACTTTGTAGAAAGGAATAATATTCCCACACTCAGCCTTTTAAGAAGATTCTTTTCACGTATGCTGTACTGCTTGATTGTGGTTCTAATAATCTTTCATGTTGTTCCTGGGCAGAAAGTTACTTATTAAATCTAAGGTAAAAAGATTAAATGTGATAAAAATGTGTACACAATATATGTGACAAGTAGTTTAATCCTATATATTGTCCCTACGTCTCCTTAAATTCAGTTGGATATATTGGTGGAGGGCGGGAATCTAATGTCATTTTACCCCATCTACTGTATATCTGTAAGACTCTTTTACTCAACCATTTCTCTGAGTAAAAATAAATTGTTAGATCGGGTAATGGAAAGGCACACGCAGGCTAACGGTAACAACAGCTCTTTATTAACTCAGTAGCAACTATGTACAATCCAGCTAAGTTTGAGTCTGACATCAGCCCTTTTATAGGGAGCTGTCAGATCCTTCGGCCAATGAGATCAAACCTCTGTTCCTGCCGGAACAGAGGACCTTGGTGGAAACCACTATAGCTGAAGCTAGTATCTAACATAAGTCTTATTCTGAAGTTTCATCATTACAATCACACATACAAGCCTGTGCTCACCACAGCACGAAACATCATTTTACCAGGAGTTAAAATTTTATCTTTGCTTGCTTTCATCAATCCTCATGACAATGTTATGCAACCTAGTTTGATCTTAATTTAGGTCATGGGTGTCAAACTCGCCACGTCACGTTGCCATCATGTGACGTTCCGCAACATTTTTCCCATTTGCAGAGCTGGAGTGGGCGTGGCCTGTGTGTGACGCATCTGGCCCATGGGCTGCCAATTTGACACCCCTGATCTAGGTAGAGAGATAAGAAAAGAATGCGCCACCTCCATGTTTTTCCTGATTCTTACTGTGATATAGCATTAGAGAAAGTCCTTGACTTATGATCCCAATTGAACCCAAAGTTTCTGTTAAGCGAGACATTTGTTAGTGAGTTTTGCCCCTTTCTATGACCTTTCTTGCCACAGTTGTTAAGTGAATCACTGCAATTGTTAAGTTAGTAAGTGAATCTCACTCCCCCATGGACTTTGCTGGCTCAGTTGCCAAGCGACTGAACTTGGATTATATGATAATGAGGATGCTGAAATGGTTGTAAATGGGAAAAATGCTCACAGGCCATGTATTTCAGTGCCGTTGTAACTTTGAATAGTCGCTAAATGAATTGTTGCAAGTTGAGGACTGTCTGTCCTTTATCTAATGTCATTTTTTTTCAAGCTTAGGTTTAAGTTAGAAATTGAAAATAAGGATTAAAATTAGAAGTCGAATCATTATTTCTTTTAGGAAGCCTGGTTCAATCAGCTTTGCAAATCTTTTTTGGACTGTTTTGTGCAGCTGTAATATGCACTTGTCTAGGAAAGCTGGGCTGACTTTATCCTAATTCTTAAGTGCTGGCATATCTTGGAGTCTGATAAAGGCAAGTAATAATGTGGAATGTTGAGAAGTTCCCTGGCAATACGATACATTATTTGGCAAATGAAAAATATATGCCCTTAGCTAACTGAACAAGTTCTATTATCTGAAATTCTAGTTATTCTAATATCTTTCGCAGTGTACCAAGATTGAACTGAGCTCAGGACTTGTCAAAATCAGATAAGGAGATCAGCGTATCCCCCTTCCCCTCCCACCTCTCCCCCTTTTAATTAAAACATTTGTCTGTTCTTCCAGTCTGTCGGACAGAGGGCAAATGTCACAGTGTGATACAATATTGTCGGCTTTGTAAATAGGCTAATTGTCCTGTTGCTGCTCATGGCCTTGTCCCCAGCTAATTCAGATATATCTCTCAGCCCTTAAAGATTTCATTCTTCTTTTTATGATAAGTATTCTTAATTCTATGCATACATACCCTAACCCTATAGTTTTTTTTTCCAATTAAATAGGTATGTATTAGGGTACTACAAAATCATAACGAAGAGGATGATATCAATGCTAGGTCCCAAAAACAGAACATTGAAATGAGTTATATGTAAATATCAAAACAGAACTTAGTTTCTAAGAATTCTTTAAAGCTTAAGCATCTATGAAGACCCTGGCAAGACTAGATTATGTCCAGCTACCTGCCTTATTTTCTCTCTCCTACACACCTACCGGGTGTGCTGCTGGTGTTCTTCTTCTGGGGTTATTATTTGGTCAAGCTCTTCCTTCTTGTCTGGCACATTTCTTCAACATTTGGTGCAGCAATAGCAATAGCAATAGCAGTTAGACTTATATACCGTTTCATAGGGCTTTCAGCCCTGTCTAAGCGGTTTACAGAGTCAGCACATCGCCTCCACAGTCTGGGTCCTCATTTCACCCACCTCGGAAGGATGGAAGGCTGAGTCAACCTTGAGCCNATAGATGTGGGAAACTAGGTTTTTAAGGGGAAAGTAATTACAATTACTTAAGATACTTGCTTGAAATGTTCATAGCATCAGATTAGTCGTCTCTCTTTAATTTCTGAGTTACTGATTAGAAAAATTAGCTAGACTGTCAAGAAAATGCAGGGTTAAACTGAGGTCAGGATTTTAAAAAAGTATTTAGTGAAATTGCTTTTCTTCCACTACTTTAATGTTGCCTGCATAAAGGGAGGGGGGCCATTCCAAAGAATGTGCCCTAAAAATCCTTTTTAGTTACACAGGCTGTGCGCGGGGTCAAGAGGAAGGCAAAGGATGAAAACAGCTTTGTATTTCAATGGAAGCCCAAACCTCTTGTATGTACATATGAAATACATATGAAATGGTTGGAACATGCATTGGGATAGCACAATACTCAAATTATGAAAACGATATCACAAACCCCAATACAACTGTTGTTATTCTTATAAAGACAATAGTTGCCTCTGTGACCTGCTCTCCTTGGTAACTAATCAATGCTCAGGGCAACTGACTACCAAATTGACTCAATAT